GTATATTGCTTCACCTTCACTTGGAATATACAAGTTAGCACTTGTAGAACCCAAATTCTTAACTAAATTGTGTCAATTGGAATTGGAATTAATATTTATTAGCTTGATAAGAATAGATTATACAAAATATAACAACCTTCCTGATCCACTTTCGCATAATTTTGCTCGTGTAAATTGCCAAGGGATGTGTCGTGTAACTTTCTTTGGAATTATATTTAGATGCGCTTGCAATTCTAAACTCCTCGGCAGCGACTATTTGTTGTTTTTCCGTTTCTTAATTTCTCTTCGATACCATTTTTCAACGATGTCACATATCTCCTTGGAAGTTGATGCCAACAACGTATAATCAAGTCGTGGTAAAAGTCAGGCAATCCTTCAGGTAGTTCTGGTCACATATATCAAAAGCTAAATTAGCATCGAAAGGACGTTTACCAAATGACGGTTTACCGACACACCATTCCCACATGACCATTCCCAATGCATAGACATCTGATGCCATGCTGAATGTCTCCCCTTGGAAAATCTCTGGTGCAACGTATGGCATCACACCAGATATTTGGCCTTTTTCCTTAATGGAATTTTGTCTGATTGCAGCACCAAAATCACAGATTATGGTAACATCATTACTTAATCGAAGAATATTTCCAGGATTGCAGATCACCGTGTATAATCTCTTGTGAATGAATAAACTGAAGATGAGTACAAATATCATATAGTACTTGTATGCGATCATTCCAAGTTATTCTGGGGAATTGCTTTCGTAGAGAACGTCGCAGATCACCTTGGCCGACATCAGGAAGAACTTAAAAGTATTCTCCGTTTGAAGGATTGTGTGTTATTCCGTAGACTTTATAGTGTTGAAAACTATATATAAACAAAAATATAGAAGAATAAATTAAACAAACAAAAAAGAAAGCGGGGCCTATCATTTCTTACCTATTATTTTTATTAGACAAATATAAGAAATTGCATTAAATAACTAATAAAATGTATAGAATAATTATAATAAGTTCAAAAGTCAATTAAAATGGTTGATTTCTTACCTAAAATGCCAAATAAAATCGTTGATTTCTTGCCAGCTATATAAAGGTTAAATAAATTAATATGTAAATAAATTAATATCAAATAAATTTAATTAATGAATTAGTTAAATAAATTAATATCAAATAAATTTAAAATGAAAAATTAAGATAAAATCGTTGATTTCTTACAATCTAAATAGCGATAGAATAATGGATTAGTTAAATAAATTAATATCAAAATAAATTTAAAATGAAAAATTAAAATAAAATCATTGATTTTTACAATATAAATTAATATCAAATAATTTAAAATCGTTGATTTCTTACTCACTAAATAAAGGATAGAATAATGAATTTGTTAATAAATTAATATCAAATAAATTTAAAATGAAAATGTAAAATAAAATCGCTGATTTCCTACAATCTAAATAAAATATAAATAATGAATTAGTTAATAAATTAACATCAAATAAATATAAAATGAAAAATTAAAATAAAATCGTTGATTTCTTACAATCTAAATAAGGATAGAATAAGGGATTGGTTAAATAAACTAATATGAATAAATTTAAAATGAAAATGTGAAATAAAATCGTTGATTTCTTACATCTAAATAAATTAATATCAAATAATTTAAGTAAAATAAAATCGTTGATTTCTTACAATCTAAATAGCGATAGAATAATAAATTAGTTAAATAAATTAATATCAAATAAATTTAAAATGAAAAATTAAAGTAAAATCGTTGATTTCTTACAATCTAAATGACGATAGAATAATGGATTGGTTAAATAAATTAATAAAAATAAATTTAAAATGAAATTGTAAATAAAATCGTTGATTTCTTACTAACTAAATAAAGGATAGAATAATGGATTAGTTAAATAAACTAATAAATAAATTAAAATACAAATATAGATAAAATTGATTTCTTACTCCTAAAATAAAGCATAGGTAAATAAAATAAAATCAATGTGTAAACGTAAAATAAAATCGTTTATTTCTTACATTTTGAATCATCACTAATCAAAAAGTTAAGATTAATAGATATTAAACAAAATAATAATTTTTACCGTCTTTTTGTACATTTATTGGTCAGCTCAGCCTCCATTGAATTATTATTATAAAATTAAAATCAAAGGTGAATAAATAACTTACAAAAATAGGTTTCGCATACTTATCTAGAAACCATCTTTAACAATTAATTACCTCATGCAATAATTCTTTTATTGTCATGGTTGACTTCAATGTAACCCATTTCTTATCCCAACAACCTCTGTACACTTCACCAAATTTTCTCTTAGCAATTTTCTCAACATTAGTAAGCTCTTCGAAAAGCATTCTCTCAATTTCAGGTGTCGATTGAATAAACTCTTCGATTTCTATTTCTTTATTAATGCCTGCCATATATTTATGTCAAAAGAGGACGCTCTTTCCAAATGATTGTCGGAAAAACTTTAAAAGTCGACTGTAACACATCCATACATCCAAACTTTATTGTTGCATGTGCATGTACAGTACCCACAGAAAGTATCGCCCGATTTACGTGTGTAACCATTTTTTAAAATACACTTATCGTCAACACTATAATTTCGTTAGGTTAAAAAATGGTGTCCATATATACGCAGCTTAACGAAATTGAAAGGGGGAAGATTTTGGCGTACATGGACACCACAAATGCCGCTAAAATCACAAAATTATTCGGACGTGATCCTACAACGGTACGCCGCTTTTTAAACAAATATAAACGAACCAGAAAAGTGAAAACTTACCACTTTCAGGAAGATCACCAGCCTTAAACAATCATGAAAAGGATTCACTTATACGTAAAGCTAGCGAAAAATGACATGCATCACTACGCGAAATAGTCAACAATTTAGGTCTCACTTGCAGTTTATCAACCGTCGCAAATGTATTGTACAATCCGGACTTAACCCACGTATCGCAGCAAAGAAACCCCATATCTCAGAAACACATGCATATGCTTATATTAAATGGTGAGAAGAAAATAAAAATAAATCAGCTTATGATTAGTCGAAAATAATTTTCTCTGATGAAACCAGTGTGAAAATTGGGAAGCAGTCGCGGCAGCCAAAAGTTTGGCGGCAGCCTGGAGAAAAGTTTAACGTTAATTGTTTAGCGTCTACCTTTAAAAGTGGATGAAAATCTGTAATGGTTTAGGAATATTTCGCGGAAAGACCATTAATTTTTTGTGATGAGTATAAAAAAATAACTGCAAATACTTATTTCGAAATCTTAAAAACTCCATTACTTCCATTTCAGAACGCAATTAGGGGATTAACTGGAAGTTACGCAATCTTTCAACATGGCAATGCGCTGATACATACTGCGGAAAAAATCAAGTGAAAATAAAATCGTGATTATTAATTGGTCAACGAATTCCCCAGACCTGAATCCAATAGAGAACATTTGAAAGATATTAAAGGACAATATTCAAAAAAATGGGAACTTTCCGACAACTATGGACGAACTTAAGATTGTGGAGTGGGAAAAACTTGATGTGGCCATTTTAGAATGGGGCAGTATTGGAGTCAAATGGGGGGGGCCAATTAAATATTAAATTTTTATTTTTAATTTTACATCGGGCGATACTAATACTTTCTGTGGATGCTTTACATAGTAAACAATCATTGTGACACAACATTTATGGGTCAAATGCATTTACTATGAAGATCAGAAAATCTCTCGTATAGTAAATTTTCTATTTTTATATATAATTATTATAAAGTATTTATTTCATTCCTTTATAAACTTTTTTTCTCATATATTAACATATATTTACTTATTTTAGCAACAAATTTAATCAATTTGATAATAATAATAATAACAAAAAATGAGCAACATATCATTATTTAATGAAATTATAAGTGATAACGAAACTATAAGTGATAATGAAACTATAAGTGATAACGAAACTATATATTACGAAACTACAGATGACGAAACCACTGATGACGAAACCATAAATAAAACTACAAATAATGAAACTACAGATGACGAAACTATAGTAATAAATAATGATAATAATTCATCAGATATATTTTTTGCGGTAAATGAAGAAACTATAGCTTTAGCTCATGAATTAGCAGTAAAAAAATCAGCTTCAGAAAGTGAAGATAACAAATTGTTAGAAACTCTAAATGATGTTGATGACATTTTATTCGAAGTTGGAACAGAATCTACTTTTTCAACAGAAAATAATGAAGAATTAGCTTTATCTTCAAATACTGATAAAAACTACTTCCCTGTTGTGTAATTGATAAATTTAATAATGAAATATGATGTTGTAATTCTACTATCAAGCTTAGAAGATTACAGCAACTTGTTGGTATGTGGGAAATTGAAGCAAGTGCACTTCAAGAAATTGAAACCAAATTTCAAAATTTGGGCGTATGTCAAAATCATTATGCTTTTGATCAGAATTACTTACATCAACAAGGTTTAAAAAAAGCATCAAATATATCTGAAAGCATTATAAAAAATCGTCAGTGCATTTATTGTGGACTTAATAAGTATTTTTATAGCCATGGAAAATTATGTTTTGAATATTTATGGAATATTATTAGACGTAATATACAAATTCCATGTATTGGACAAGTCAATTGTCCAGCATTAAAAGAGCAAAATTGTCATTCTGTCATCTATCCAACTACTTTAATTACAAGATTATGCTATGTTTGCTGTTCTTGTTTCGAAAAGAATGGTGGACATCTGTATCATCATCCTGGAAAAGGCAAATCTATTACATCTTGTAAAGATAACAAATTACATGATAATAATACTACATTATCCCTTCAATTATTAGGAAATTGGATATTAAATATAGCTGAATCTGATAATTCAGATACAAAATTATCTCTTTTATCTCATTTAAGTCCAATTTTACAAATTCTAAATACACCTTCTTATTCAAAATCACTATCACAATTAGAAATTCAACCTATTTCATCTTATTCAATGCAATCAAAAATTCAACCTCTTAGTTTATTTGTTATTAAAACAGCTATTAAGTTAAAACATATCACTATTTCTTTAATATCAAAAAATTTATCATTGGAATATTTTTCTGATTTAGACAATACAATGGCAAATATAATTTGGACATCAAAAACAGAACTTCAAAAAAATATTAAGTTATTAGAAAGTCCAGAAACATTAGATCAATATTTTTCAGCAATTCCAAAATCACTCACATCTTTCTTTGATGCACTTATAATGAATTTAGAAGACAAATAAAATCTTTCAGCTGCTCGCAAAGCAAAATAATAAAAAAAAGAATGCAAATCAATTAATTTAGCAAAGATTAAAAAAATAATAGTCTTTATATCATCAATTATTTTAAATATCATATTTAAGAGGATAAATATTTGGATTCCTCATATGATGGCCAGTTTATGTTGAAAGCCTAATCTTCTTTCTTCAGTTTACAATTTTTAAAAAAAGTTAATATAATATCTCATACTGATCAATAGGAACATTATTTGAAAAATTTACAAAAAAAAGCAATAAATTCTTCTAATCAAGTACAAGTTGGACCTAATATTTGAAATATTACTGTGATTGATAATATTAATATTAGAGCAAAATTATTTACATTTGGAAATATTTATGATATTGCCTGTCAATCTTCACATACTATATTACAAATAGTTTTTCAATATAATTTACCTATGCCTATTACAACATTTACAAATCAAAAAATTTCAATTTATAATGAACAAATAATTGGACCTAATAAAGTTTCAAAAAATATCATAATATTATTTCACATGATATTTCAAAGTTTTCTTTTTAATAATATATCTAGTAATAATTTTAATACTAATTTCAATATTTATGATATATATAAAAAAATTACAGATCAAGTTGAGAAAGAATATCAGTGTGAAGTTTCTAATATTGTTATACTCGAGGCAGGTGGATTATCAATAACAAATAAGGGTATTTTTTTATTATTGGAAATGTATAAAAATAATATTGGACTTACTACAAATAAAAAATTAGATATTTCATCAGATGAAGCTATATTTTAAAGAGCAATATGATATAAAAAAAAAGAATTTTGAAACTTACTTGGATAATGACATATTAATAAAGATATATGTGGTATATTATTAACAAATTTTTCAGGTTATAGTATATTTAATTTAGCTGGTGCACTTGGAGTTTAATATTTAGATAAGTTAAAAATAATTGCTGACTATTGATCAACTTATCAAGTTTTAGAACTTTTATGGACTGCTATAGGTTGTGCAATTCATATATATATAAAAAAATATTAAATTATACTATTAAAAATAATGAATTGCAATAATAATTTAGTCAAAGTCTGGTATCTTTATTTTGTTTGAATGAGTTTATAAAAGGCTCACAAAGTTGGAATACAAAATGAAAATTATAATTGGCAATTTAAAATATTAGAAGCTTTTTCATCACTTTTTTCTGCATCTGAAAAAAATCAATATGCAGAATCTGTTGTTCATTTTCTTGCACAATTATATGATAATACAGAATTACAATCTTTATTTAATTAGCATAATCAGTTAATATTTCTCATGATGAACATTATTATATATTTGATGAGGTCTTGAAAATATTAGATATAAAATTTGTAAAAGAAAATATGTCAAAAACTGCTAATATAGTAAATCTTGATATTTTAAAACTTAAAATCAAATCAGTATAAGCTGAATGTGAACAATTAGCAACTTTCTTATCAGAATTTATTAATGATTATTCTGAAAGTTATAGAAATCATTCAATTCAAATGAGAAATGAAAAAATGTGAAAACTTTTAATAGATTTAATATCAATATTTGAAACAAGAAATTCTAAAGATTATTATTTATTTTCTACTGCTTAAGAATTAATAGAAGAAGAATATCAATATCTTTTTAATCTTTATAATAATGAAATTCAAAGAACATAAGCTATTTTACATCAAGATATTTATGATCTTGAAGATCGAATTACTAAAGAATGATGTAAATAAGAAATTATAAAATATAAATATAATGATCTTAAGAAAAAAAGAAAAAATGATAAAGATAGTGAAGATATAAAAAGAAAAAATAAATCAAAATATTAACAAATAACAAAAAATTTATTATCAAAGACATTAAATAAAACTCAATGGCAAATTATAATCAAGAAAAAAGAAATTTTGAATCAATTTTTACTATATTCTCAATTAAATGATCAAATTATTAATGAAATTCAGGAAAAAATTCCTACTTGGAGGCTCATCTAAAGCGGGGGCAAATCACGTGAATCAATAATGATTAGTTAGAACATACAAATGATGATTAGCCAGAAAATATAATTAAATAATTCTTATTATCATTATTGGTAGAAAGCGATGACATTTAATACAAGGTAAGAATTTTTACATATTTAAGTTTTATTTATCATTACAAATATAATATGATAAATTTTTTAATATAATATATCAATTTTTAAAACTTATTTAAGTCTTGGTAATGAAGGAAAGTATTATTATAATCTGTATTTTTATTATTAACTAAATACTAATAATTTTAATTTTTTTCTTTCATTTGATCAAATTGCAAGATAATCAGATTCAAGAAGACTTCTAACATAGAGATAAAAGTTATCATCCTCTCAACATCACCTGTCTCTTCAATATTCCAGTATCTATCACACATTCTTTCAGTTAATTCGGCCATAGTAAGTCTTCAATCTTCAGCCTTTTTTTGTTATTCCATTTGCACATATTCAATAAATAATTCATAACTTTCATAAATCTCAAATCCACTTTCTTCGAACATTTCCCAAAACATCCTCTATATGTCGGCGGTCAATAATTTATTACCATACATGTGTTCATGAAAGATATGCTTGCATGGTAATAAATATCAATTGCGAAACATGCAGTAATAATCATGAGAAGTTAAACCGGGCGCATCTTTTCCTTTTTCAAGCCTATTTATTACAGCATGGGCCTCTTTAATGATTAGTTGTTGGAATGGGAAGAGAAACCTATGGATTTCCTCAAGAATATCTTTATTGATATCATATGCGGACACTTTCTTGATATTAAAATCGAAGGCAGCACTTTCAAATTCAGATCTTTTTTTATAATCAATGTCAACAATACCATGGACGGCACCTAAAGAAAGAAAAATTTAGGCACAAAATAAGATAGGTAGACAAATAAAATAAATAAAAAAATCTCGTACCAATTAAACCATATAATGAAGATATTTTTCTCTTTAATTCGCTATGAAAGGATTCTAATGGATTTGTAGTCGTGACTTGTAAGAGCAGAGGAGAATATTGATGGGCCCATAAACCCCATTATTATGTATTTTTCGCATAGTTTTTTTTAATGTAGTTTTGTATAGCAAGAATAGAACAATGATTAATAGCAGTCTGAACAAGGCTTTCGCAACCAATTCTTGTTCTTTTATGCATCACCGTGATCATGATATCCCAAGTTTTTTTTTCATAAATTCTTTGCATCCACGTTCTCATAACATGGATGACACAAAGGATTATTTGGCATTCTTGTTTGCTAGCAGTTATACTGGGAAAGGCCTTTTTAATGCTTTTAGCTTTGATGCTACTATGATCCGAAAGTATATAACGGGGAGACCAGTGACAATATTTATTACAAATTATAATTAATGCTTCCGCAACTGTATCTCCATCCTCACTATTCACAAAAAAGTGGGCACCCACATTCCAGCATCTGTAAGTGTCATGGATGTAAAGAGTAAATAAATACTAATCATACTGGTTGGTTTTATGTGTTAAATCTATAAGCGTTAACCACTCATGATACTTAAGTTTCTTTAATTATTCTGGATATGCAAATATGATACCTTTAGTTGATCATTGGGGGATATCGTAATTTTCAACGAGATATTCCTGTTTTATTAAATAAGAAACAGCTTCCAAAATATTGAATTTTAAATTCAAATTTCCAATAAGATGAGTTTCTATAGGTCTACGAACTTTATATTTAATGTTCGTTACTTTTTTATGTGTCAACTCATGTACACATACACCAAGACCTAATTCTATCATTACATATTCTTTGATGGCAGCTGTGATTGCTGGAGATGAATAATTTTTGACTGTCTCTATTTCGACTAAACTTCTGATAGCTTTTATCCATTTTATCCTATCAATTTCTAATAAAGAATGCGTATGGTTTGGAGTATTTTTATATTATTCTACTTGAACTATTTTTGAAGAGACTATCCAAGTAATTTTAATCTTCGCAAGACAGAGGTCAGATGGCTGTGTTCTTGTTATTTAACATTTTTCATTTGGGACATTTTCCTTTTGTCGAGTACTTGATTTCTGATGCTTCATAAAACAGCAGGCAAAAATTTTCTGAATATTACTATTTATATATTCATACGAATCCCATTTCGTCCAAATGTTCATTACCAATGGCCACCAATTATCATTAAAATCCTCCATTGGAATTTCTAAAAAACTGTTTATATTAAAAAGATGACACCATTTTTCATCTGGTGTGAGCTTTGATATTGAAGAAGCCGTAATGACCGAAGACATAGTAGAGGTAGCAACTGAAGACATAGCAGAGGTAATAATCGAAGGCACAGCAGAGATAATAACTGAAGAGGTGGCAGACATGACAATTAAACCGAAAAGCAAAAAAATATTTTTTTTCCCTAACATTAAGAAAAAAAGGTTAATACTTTTAATCTTTATAAAAAAATAAACTAGTTAAATTATGAAAAAAAACTTACCATTACAAAAAAACTAAATTAAAACCAAATCCAAATCCAACCACAACCAAAACCAAAACAAAAACAAAAACAAAATAAAAAAATAACATTTTATAATTCCCTTGTCATTAGGTGATATTAATCACCTTTATATCCCTCAATCAATTAGAATCTTATCTGCATTGACCAATCATAATCATAAAATTTTCACGTGATTTGCCTCCACTTTAGACGTCCCCCTACTTGGGATAAAAAATGACTTAAAAATTATTATTATAATAATTAGAATAAGAAATAAGATGAATTACAAGATTATAAATATAGTAAGTTAAGTTTATAAATATTAAATTTCAAATTTTTTTATTCAGAAATTCTGAAAAGAACATTATTTTTACATAAATATATAATTATGAATATAACTATTTCTAAATAATAATATTTTTTTATTTATATATAACTATTTCTAAAGAATAATATTTTTTTATTTATGTTATTTTTTTGTAAAGATATAAT